GGAGCTACCAACTCAGCAATTGCTCCTACCCCTACGCCCCTATCCTTTGACTCTGCTGAGGGGTCAGGGTGGCTCACCTTTAGCCTGACATTTGTGCCACTTGTTCCTCATCAGACCAGTATGAAATAAGAGCAATCCCTTGGCTCTGGGTCCTCTGCTTGCTTAGTGTGCAGTAAAGGGTTCAGTGAGCACAGCAGAGTGCTAACTGCCAGCTGTTCTCTCTGCTGGCAGCAATAGCATCACCATGCACCTTGCAGAAGTGCTGTTCCTCATGGCTGCTGTGGGGTGCAAACCCTCTTCTGCCCTCCTGCAACTTGCTGTACTCCTCCAAGCCACCACAGCCTCCTTCCCACCCACATCTGCAAGGCTGCAGTTCCCCTCCCAGGGGCATTCAAAGGTAAAGGTAGAGTTTTCCCCATCAGCAGTGACATGGAGCAGCTCTAACTGAGGATCCAGCAACCTCTTTGCAACTTCATCAGTTTCTCCAGCAAATGCATTGGCCTCTACTGTCCTGTCAACATCGTTGCAAGAATACTGCCTGCTCAACCCACTGGCATTTGTCTTTCCTGCTGCTAAATCATGATTCAACTCATGCATCCTGGTTTTAGCACCCATGTTCCTTTACATGCCAGTGTAAATATTTGTGTGTCTTCCTATAACAGGAAAAGACACTGTGTGCAGCCCTCACTTACCCAAGCCCCAGAGGTGTCCTCACAGGGCTTCAGAGGTGAAGATGTATCAGGAAAGCCACTCTGTGCTGCTGCTTTGTGAAACAGTTGCTTTTCACTGTAGGAAGGGGAGGATGTGCCCCACTGATGCCACCCCACTGGGGGGGGGTGGCGGGGGTGGCACAAGAGGTGTCATCAAGTGTAATTCATGGGTTGTAATGGAAATACCAGAAAATAAAGAAATGTAGGTACATCAGAAAAAAAATTATTGACCTGCTGTGTCAATATGGCGTTTTTAGGACCCTGTGTTTCACTTCATCTTTCTTAAATGAGAAAAGAAACAAATGCAAAAGGTGGTTTCCTGGACACGGGTGAGTTCTGTCAAATTTTAGCATTCATCCCTGCTGAAGGATGAGACAGCTGAGCTGCTAACCTGAGGGTGTACCTCCAGCACCTTTCCATCAGGGAATGACAGTGCTCAATATGTGCAAAAAGGTGAAGCACTTACAAAAAGCTGTGCTTAAGAAAAGGGATTTTCAGAGGTTTTTGAACACTTCAGGCTTGTCTGGGAAACAGTTTTGAGCTCCATAGTTTACTGGATTTCTCTGACTTCTGCGACCTGCTGTACAAAATTCCACAAAGCCATTATGTCAAGCCCAACTTTTCCCAAATATGTAAACTGTCAAAGCTCTCCTCCCCCTTTCACAGCAATGAATTATCAGTCATATGCTTGAAGTGAAGTAGTGCATCATTTGCTTACTGGTTTTACAGGACAACTCTTCCCTTGTTGCTTGCTGCAATTCTTCTTGGATGTGAAGAGTAGAACATATTTACATTGGTTTGTGGGATTCTGGACAACCCCAGGAAAAACTAGGACTGGAAAGGAAGTTTTTCTGCCCAGTGAAAATTTTTGTGGTGTGTTTTTTCCATATCAGAATGAAGGCTTGAAATATAGAAACTCAAAGAAAAACAGACCACTCCACATTAAGCCACCTGAAGCTACTTATTTTGGTTATTTTATTCTTTCTATTTTCTTAGTGAATTTACTTCATGTTGCCAAGCAAAGCAGACATTCTGGATTTCTTAAAAAAATAAATAAATTGTGTCCACAAAGTTGATTTCAGTAGTTTGGGAATTGTTTGGCAGGTAATTTTAAATCAGAGAGTGCCAATCTGCTGCACTAAAATTAAAAAGTAACGATCCAGCAAATGACTAATTTTGTGGTCTGGGTTAATTAGTGGAACAGCTTGGCAGATGGAAGGCAGCAGGTCTGAATTACTGCACTAAGTCCATTTGCTGAAGAAAGATATTATCCTTGTTGTTTTTAATAATAATTAATGAGAATTAAAATATTCATCTGGGATTTTTGCCGTTGCTATTAGCGGGAATACTTGTATATATATGTATTTGCTCTTTGATGCTTTTCTTGCTTGTTTGCATTTCATTCCTTGACTGTCTTGCTCTGGGACTTAAATAATACTCCAGAAATTATTCAGACCGCACCTTTGTCTAGCATGGAGGAAACTTGAGGCTTTTACAATTAGTGCTGCTGATTATTCCGTGAAATACATACACCATGGTCTGACAAGGAAATCAGCAGTAAAAGGTCAGGCAATGAGCAGTCCTTCATCAGCAGGCTCACAGGGAGCACCAGTTCGTGGCTTGCAGCTTGCTTTTGCATCTTTGTCTTGCAGCACAGGTTGCCAGGGAAGCAGCAGGGATGGCATATTTGCCTCTGAGTCTGTACAGACCCAAAGACTCCAAAGCCTTCTCTGGTGAAATCCAGGCATTACTTATCTGAAGTCCAAGGTGCTTAAATTTTGATGCCTCCAAGGCACCATGATGGTCACTTAGTCTTGTGCCCTCCTTGACACCAGCCTTTGATGTTCCTGCTGGGCATTCCCACACCGAAACTGCTTCCTGTGGTAGGTTTTAAGCACGTTTCAGGAAAGCTTTGGATTATATGAGTTCCCATGATGAGAGAGACTTTTAATGAGCTGGTTTAGTGTGTCATTGCTCTCACTGTTAAAACATGCTTCTCCCTTTGTCTTCAGCTAGACTTAGCTGAGTCTCTGTCTTCCAGTCCTGGACTTTGCTCTACCTGTGTTTGGCAGAGTTAAAGCCCTTTAGAGTATGAAATCTTCCCACATACCTTTAAAGACTAGGAGGAGTCACTTTTTAATCTTCTCTTTTAAGAGGACAGTGATAGTTGAGGGCTAATTATTGCCTCTATTGACTTTTTCATGTTTGTGTCTGGGTTTTTTAGATAAGTTGTAATTGTTCCTTTTTATCATTGTAAAACTACTGTTAATAATTGCTGTTCACTATCTCTACATCTAAGGATGTGGCCCCACTTCTCTTCTGATTCAATGTTTGGGACTCTGATGGACAGTTGAAGGGGTGTTGATTTGGTTTTGGGCACCTTTGGAAAAAAGTGTGTGCAACAATCAAAGAACTGTTTACCTTCTCCTCAGGTTTTGTAAACCTTGTCTGTTATTTTTCAATGGCCCCTTTTCAAGTGGTATTGTATCTCTGGTGGGTTTAGTTCTGGTTGTAGGCTGGGCTGTATTTTACCATCCTTAATCATCTTGAGTACTTTCCTTAATTTGATTTCACTGAGAAATTTCAAGGAGTGAGATGATACTTAGATGAATGAAATTGGGGATTAAATGGGGATTAGATGGATTCTAACAAGTACATGCTGTGCTTTCCATGGGAAGGTTTCTAGACATCATTAGACCAAGAAGAGCTCCTTTTCCGTGACACTTACAGATTTAAAATCATTGTATTACACCCTATTATTAATAAAAACAATAAACTATCTTGATGGTAATATCCATCTTTTGGTGAAATTTCAAACTGTGGTCATATCCAAACCCCCGTGAAAGGGTATGAGCTCTTTTATAGCCTTATATACTGCAACTTCAAGAGGATTGTTCCTTATCCAAATGCCTAGGCCTTTGCAGGATGGAGGTATAAATGTCTTGTTTATGATATTTATCCAGTTACTTGTACTCTTTCTGTTTGCAGCATTTTTGTTCCTACATATGTTGGGCTGGTGGGCAGTCTCATAAATACTGTGATAGCAATGGTTTGGATCCCTTTGCAGGCTAAACCAAAGTCAGACGGTCGTGTGACGGATCAGAGTAAGTATTTAGTGTTTCTGATAAATAGTACATGAATAGGGATGGGCAATTGCCATGCTGCAAGAACTGCTAAAGGACCTTGAGGTTCCATTTAAGGGCAAAAAATGCTGCCAATTTTGAAATGCTGGCACTTTAATGCCTAAGCTGTGCTTATGGAAGAGTATTATCCCCTACGTATTGATCACTCTGTGACATAGAATTGCAGTCTTCCAGCCCAGTGCTTGACATGCATCTCATGAAAGGTGAATGTGGACCCCTTGTTGGGGGTTAGTTTGGGCTGGCATGGGAGGCAGTCCCAGTGTCTCACAGGGTTCCTCTGCATGCAGACCTGGCACCAGGTCCCAACCTCCTGCCACTGGCAGAAAGTTGCTGCAGCAGGGATGTGCCTTTTGGGTGGTAAACCTGAGCTGACTGTCCCAGAGTTTCTTGTTTTCTCTACCCTTAACCTATATAAATAGCGTATTAATCAATATGTCATCTTCTGTAGGTGCATCACAGTCTGGCAGCTTGTTTAGTATCAAAGAAATCCAACGCCTGATGAAGTTTCCAGGAGTGATGGAAGTTTTCATAGTCAAGGTCTTTGCTGGACTTCCCATAGGTAAATCTCACCCATACCTGTGATTGCTGATGTATTTAAAATAGGATGACATACACTGTAAACCTATCTTGTCTCAAGTTTCTGAAAGCATGTTGCATTTGATCATGGAGCAGTGAGGCTTCAGCTCCTGACTTGATATTGGATGCTTTCAAATAGTCTCAGCTACATAGGGTCAAAACTCTGGGACTTAATGTCAAACAGACTACTTGTCATAGGCTGCATCTGTGACTTTTGGCAAATCACTTAACCTCTCTACTCCATCCCCCTGGCTGTAAGTATTTTTTCCCCTCGTCTGTCACTTCTATTTAGACTCTTCAGAGAGCCTAGACCTCTTCAGAGCAGAAGGAAATAATTTGTCCTCTGCCAGAAACATTGAGATCCTTCCTGATTTTACTTGGTGATTTAAGATGTAATTGTATCCTAACCTCTTTCCCAACAACTAAAAACTATTGGTGAATGAGAGGCTCAGGCTGCACACAGAGGGGCCACAGTATGTTTCTTCCCTTGCACGTTGATGATGGTGCTTGTTCTTCTCTTCTTTATATATTCTGCTCAGATTTTTGTGTCATGGTAGGAACCCACTGGTACCTCAAATGTTTTCCAAACCCCATCTGTTTCCCTGCTCCCTTTGAGTCACTTGCTGTCCTGACATGGGCCATTTGCCTGACTATACATATCCTTGGCCACAGTTTAATAATCTTCAGTTTTGCCTACCCTCTAGCTTCCTTTCCCACACACTTGACTAGAGACAAGCCAGTATGTCAGCCTTGTTAGTGATGTGTAGGGACAGGGTGATGTTCTCTGCTCTTCCACACAGAAAGCCTTCATGGCTCTTTTCCCAGCCAAACCCAAAACTGCGGTTTCTCTTGATGAGGATTTCAAGAATTGAATTTTGTGCACATCATGGACATCATGGACAAACTAAGGCACTTCCCTTCCAAACAAGGATCCTAAGAGAGGACTTAAGGCACCTTAGCTTTTAGACTTTGCATCTTTTTCCAGTTCATTTTGGTCTGGAGAAGCCCCTGAAGTTTAAACAACATGCAACATAACTTATAAATTAAATCCGAATTTGTAAACTGTAAATTCAGTTCACAAATGAAAGTAGATTTGGCTGTGGAATGGTGGCTGATTCGGAAGGGGGTGGCATTTCTGGGTGTGATCAGGATCATCTGTTCCTTGCTATGTCTCTGGGAAAACAAGTCCAACTGGAGTTGTAGGATAACATGCAGGGAAGTAAAGGATTTCTGGGGTTTTTTTTTCATTTTATGTGTAGTTGGCACTGGCTGAGATCAGTATTTTAAAAAGTGGCAGCATTTCACAGAATGAGACATGTTTTAAGAGGGTTTTCTTTGGTGATTCTGGCTCATTTCTCTGTTTAAAAATGCCTGAGACTACATCCATATGTGATCTGTAGGGTAATTTCCTGTGCACTCTCCTTTTTCCAAAGTCCAGGCGAGATGGACTTTGCTTTAGTCTTTCCTGCCAAAATGCAAATTCCTGCCTGTTGCAGAATCCATTCTTCTTTCCCTGTGCAGGGCAAAAATACTCACCCAAGCAAAATAAACATCTACTACCCAAAACTGCGAGGCAATTTCTAGGCAAAGAGGATGAAGACAGTGAAGCTGAAATTTAGGGTAGGCTAATAGTCTGTCATTGAATGGCTGGGAATATTTCGGTAAGGGTAGGAACGGGTTCACTTGAGGCACTCCCACTACAAGTGTAGCACTTGCATTAGAGCAAGGAGTGATTAAAATCCTAGTGACTTCTCTTTGCAGGTCTCTCTTCACTTCAGGTGGCTGACCAATTGATGGCAGTTGAAAGGGGATCTGGCCATCACCTAATTCTCTGCAGCTCTCAGCTGGAGGCTGAGCTCCTTATGAGCTCATTTACCTTTCATCTCCAGGCTCCAACTGTATAATTAATTAGATTCCCCAAATTACAGACCGTTCTCTATTTACTTTGTAAACAAGTTTGTTATATACACCGAAGAAAATCTTTTGTTCCTTATGGATCTCATTGTTGTCTAAAATGAGCTTGTTTGAGATCGAAAGAGCCTCCCCGGGAGGGCTGCAGGACTGGGAACCTCCTCCCAGAGTTGCATAAAAGCAGGGACACAGGCCCTGTGCCCCTTGCAGGAGAGCAGCTGCCAGGGATTGGATAGGCAGCAGACAGCTCCATCACAGCCGAATTACCTTCTCAACTGACCTGGGAAAAGAAAGCCTCATTGCATTGTGGTAGATAAGGAAAACAAGAGGATAAAAATATCGAACATACCTCTTACTGACCAGAAATTACCAGGGCCTTGAAAATACGGATAAATAGCTGCTTATATGAACCTTTGGCTGCCTAATCCCTTTGGAAAGCCTGGTTTCAGCATGATTGCTTTAGCACCTGCATCCCATCTTTAAAAGGATTTTCTTTCACGTGTAGAACAGGATTTTGCAGGGAGCCCTAGGGCTCTGCATCCCATCATGTTTGCAGTCTAGCGTAGGAGGGCTGAGACAGGCTCCCAGAGGCTGTGCTTGCCTTCTCACACTGTCTTGCTGTGAGGATTGCTAAACTGGCCCTCCAAAGCCACAGGCTGCTCTTAGGCATGTCACATCCTTATTTGTTTTTTGAAAATATATTTTGCACTCCTGGTTTTCCTTGGTGCTTTTTCTCATTGCTGTTGCATCTTGCAAACCATTTCCCTGCCTTCTGCTGCACAACCCTATTGCTCATCCCACTAGTGCTAGGTTTTCTAAGGAGTTCACCCCCTTATTAGACCCCCTCAAAAACAGGCAAGGTTTCTGAGGGGATTTTTGCCTTTTTTTTTTTTTTTTGCTTTTCATGTCAAACCTTACAGTGTGGATTGAGGCTTATCATTACTCATGTGGCTGCACTCAGCTGACCTGCAGCCTACCCAGATGGGAGCCTGCTGAGATCTTTGTGAGAAATCCTTGCATCGATGGGCATAAAATCTCTTTCAGTTCAGACTTGTGTTTGTCTTGTGGGTTTCACCAAGAAACGTGTTGCCAATGGGAGAGATCTCCTTAGCTGCTTTAAGAAGGGAGGCAAGGGGGTCTCCCTTCTCCAGATAGCTTTAGGGGACCATGCAGCTTTCTTCTAAAGAAGAAACCTTTGCATCTCCAGGGGAGCTGTGCAATATGTAATGTTAATGAAAGATCACAGCCTGTTCCCCCGCTCAGAAAGCAAGCAGTTTGTTTGGAGGAGAAAGATCCAAATCTGCCTTAACTCAATGAGGGACTTCAAAGGGGGCAGGAGCTGTAGAAACTGGTGTGTGGTACCAGGAAGAAGCATCAGGTATGAAGGAAGGACAAGCCCCTCCTAGGTAGTACCTGCAGCAGGGTAGCAGGATGAAGGGTGAGCGCCTGCTTCAATCTAATCTTCCTACAAGTGAAACAAAGTGTGGTTTTTCTTTCATTTCTTCACGTGTGCCTTCTATAAACATGTGCAACCCTGCTGCCTGATTTGGATGTTGTGAGTAAATACTGTTATTTGCATGTTACCTTAAGCTGGCTTGAGCTGAAAGCGATTTCAAAGTAACTGAATAATGATGAGGTGCTCTCCATGGAGGGGTGCGGCGAGGCCATAAATCTTCACAAGCCCCAGCTCCCCAGCACCTTCTCCAAGTATCGGGAGAGTGGCAGAGCAGGGCACTCTTCCTGCCCTCATCCCTCTGCCCCAACACCATGGGCCAGCTGGGCTGCAGCTACTCCCACTAAGGGGGGAAGACATCTCTGGTGGTTTCAGGAAGGCTTTGTGGCAGGTCCTTGGGTGGGAGGGTGGTGGTGCCTCCAGGCAAAGGCTTGGGGTGCTTGGAGGAAGGTCCTCATTGCTGCAGGTGCTCCACTGGTAGCAGCGTGGTTAGGCTGCTGGATCCAGTGGAGTTGCACTCATTTGTTACGGAGTGAGTCCTCCACAGCATTTTAGGCAGCAATTCAGGATCATTATGCTTCTTGGAAATGCTGGCAAATCCTTCCCATGTCATAGGGTTAGTGACTGACTTTGCCAGGCCACCACCTGTCTTCTCAGTCTTCACATGTTGCGTCCTACGATAGTTTCTTTTCAGGAAGGAGAGGACCACAGCTCACTTTTTGTCCAGTTTTTGTATCTCAGAGGATCCTACAAAGAAGGGCAGGACCTCCAAAGGTCATCTGCTCTCTTCTTTTCACCCCAGAAGGGTCAGTTGTCTCCAACAGGCACATTGTGGGGTTGTTCACATGCAGAGAGACCCAATTTCTTACTGTCTTGATCTGTCTGAGGTGCACAAGACACTAGTGGAAGCAGCAGACTCCTACCCCATACCATGCTTGAAGTGCAATGTTTTGTCATAATATTTTTAATTTGATGGCTTTTCGTGTAGGATGGGAACATGTGTGAGCATGTGTGTATTTGTGTATGTTTGGTGGTTGGGGAAATGCACACTATTGTATTTTTATTTGAGATTGAGTGGGCATTTTCCGTTGCACTTTCCAGAAATTGCCTCAGTTGGAGAGCAGACCCAGCCTGTGCTGTTTCTGTCTGTGCATTCCTCACTGCTTGTGTTGGCCCTGGTGTCAGTCCACACAATAGATTTTCCACGTGACACCGATGTCGTTGCTGAGGTGTGCAGTGAAACCGCTGTATATTGGCTGATGTCACTGGGTTGTTCCCCACAGTGAAAATCTAGAGTCAGGCAAAAGGGGAGAGGAATCCAATCAGATTATTTTTATGGTTACAGTCTTGTCTGAACAAATGTTTTCTTGCTGTTTTAATGGTTAGTCTGGCTTCAGTGATACAAATATTTACCAGTTTATAATAAACAGCTGAAACTACAGCCTACATAGTCACATTATTCAAAGATGAAAGTAAGGGGGATAAAAAGTTAACATTTAAAGATTAAATTAATACAATGACTTTGAATAGGATTCTGCTCTTGTTCATATCCAATGCCAGCAACCCCAGGGAGAGCTACTGACTCACACTGGGGGTGACTGGGAGCAGGATCTGGGGCACTATATGCAATGCAAGTATATTGACATATTCTTTACATTAACCCTCACTCTAGGTTTGTTCATGATGATGTTTTCCATCATCTCTATGGATTTCTTTGGCTTGGAAGCAGTGGAGTCTGGATACCTGATGTCATATATTGGTGTCCTTCAAATGGTAAGTGAAGTGTCCCCCCTTAAACAGATTCAATAGCTACACCACTATCTATTTGTGACTTCTTTGACCCATGCTTTTCTAAATTCAGGTGCAGTATTGACAGGCAAATCCTAGCTCTGCCATATGGCATTTGGCTTCAAAAATTTATTCTGTTCCTTGGAATGCAAAGAAATTGGAGGGAGGACTGTCCCAAAAGCTTTCTTCCCCTTGTCTCTCTTTGCAGATCTTTAAGCTATGGAGCTAAAATTTCCTTGGACTGATACGTCCTGAGTTTTGTAACAAAACGTACAGTGACTTAAAGTGCCATTAACTTAAAGTGCCTGGACTAAGGTTTTTCCTGGCGCAGGTTAGCTGATTTACATTTACAAAGTAGCACCCCGTACATTTCTGCAAGCAGACAATCTTACTGGTGTTTTCACAGATCCCTTCAGTGTAAAGAAAGAACTTGTTTCTGCTGCATGGAAACAAGCACAGCAAGCCTGTACTTTCAAAAAAAGGAAAAAAAATAAAGGTGGGCGATGGAACATGGTTAGGAGACTACCCAAATGGGTAAAAGGGAAAAGTCAGCTGAATTAGACAGTAGCAGGGCCAAAAATACAGTGTTGTGTTATAGAAGAGTGTTCCTTTTGGAGGAAGGAGCTAATAATTTTGCAGGAAGAGCAACACATGGTTATTAGCAAGCCTCAAGGTAGGAATGCAAGTTAAGCAATATCCTGAAGGAGGGTGGTCTTGTTATTAAATCCACCTTCATTTCCTGGGCATCAGCGCAGAGTTCCTGTGGGATCTGGAGGAGTTTCTCATCTGGCAAATGGCAGCTTTTGCTATGTCCATTCTGTGAGGACTGATTTAGACTAGCTGTCTCTTGGTCCTGTGAGTTCAGTACGTCCAACCAGCTGGATGCACCCTCCCATTCAGTCTCACTGGAAAGAAGACCCATTTGCCAGTCCACTGCATGCAAACAGCATGACAAGTGGGGTGATCAGCAGCTGTTTTGCAAAGCAAGCTTCGGACCCAAACTCCATTGCTGATAGAGGCTTTCTCTATGTTAGTCTTTGTGTGCTGCCTCCTAGACCAGGATCTGCAGGAATCACTCAGGTTTTAGAGAGAGCAAGTCATCATCTGATATCTTCTTCCCCATTTGAATGTCCCCCCAGAACTATGCTTTTAACTTAGAGGTATCAGTTAAATCCCTGTTACATATGTCTGCACTGAAATAAAATTTGGGAGTTGGTGCATGGCTGTGGTGTGCTTGTTTCAAGCTGGGTAACGTGGGTGGCAATAGCACTTGCACAGGTGTGGCTTTGTGTTGCTAGATGGAGCTTGGACACTGCTGTTAGATCCGGGATATCCGTCTTCAGGACACTGCTGTTATGTCTGGAATATCTGTCTGTCTTCACTGCTATTGTTTCCCAGGTTTGTTTGGTTGAAACTACTATAGATAAGGTTACCTACACTGCTGTGCTGGTGCACCCCACATAGAGACACAACCCTGGAAGATATAGGAATTACAGCACCTACTCTGCTTCCTAATGGATAATCAGATGTCAGTGCTAACCAGGGACCAGACCCTTCCCATAATCACAGAGTTTCATCCCGCAGGGACCGATCATGCCTATTGCTACAATTCAGCCCAGCAGTGGCCTGCAGGCTCAAGTGCAGCATCTACTTTGCTTGGGAACCTTTGCTTTGGGACATTTGACACAGAAACTTGCTTTTATCAGCCAGGCAGTTTTCTTTCATCTACCCATGCAGTTTCTATCCATGTTGCTACACCTATTCTACAGCACATGGCTCTGGACATCAGAAATATAAGAATGAAGTAGTCATAGAATACAAAATTCTCTTCTTCATGTTGATGCATTGAGGTTTGGTGTCAGAACACCAGGAAGGAAAGGGGCCAAACAAAAGCTTTATTCTTTTGAAAACCCCAGAACACCTGATTCTTGGTGGCAGCAAAGCCATCTCACCCAGGAGTTTGCAAAGCATTGCTTTCTGCTTTGTCACTTCTTCTTTCCACTTTATTGCTGGCAGTTCCAAACTCTGTTCTGGTTTATGCAAGGCAAGATCCTCAACTGGACCAAATTAAACTCTCACTATTTGCCTTTTGGATAAAAGCCAAATAGTGAGAGTTTTTATCCACTATTTGGCTTTTTTTTTTTTGCCTCATCCACGCTGGATGAGGCCTTGAGCAACCTGGTCTAGTGTCCCTGCCCACAGTAGTGGGGTTGGGACTAGATGATCTGTAAGGTCCATTCCAACCCCTAAAATTCTATGATTCTATGATTTAAAATTATTGTAAAACATTAGAATTTATGTCTTTACTTTTGGGTCTCTGGTTAGAACTACCAAAGATAGCTCTTGCAGGTAGTGCCTGAATTACTGTTTTATGGTTGCTTTCTGCTGGGGTTCCTCCAGTGGAAGCTGCATGCAGGGAATAGAATGTGTGGACTCTGTCCTGCCTAGCCCCAGAGTGGCTTGTGTGCCTTCCTGTTGCCTCAGCTGGCATTTCAGATGCATTTGTTTCTGCTGTACAGTGAATTGATACTGCTGGAGATATAAATGCAGATTAGGGTGCAAGTAAATTCCACCAGTCTGGATGGGTGAACGGTGATTAATATCAGCTGACTGGCTTCCCCACTTCACTGAGTAAATGATAGGTTTATTCATAAGGAATATAATGTAGTTTTCAATGAATTTCATCAACCAGATCCTCGGCTTTGATTTCTCATTCCTTAGTTTGCCTTCCTATAAAACATAATGAGGATTTTCTCATCCTCCTGGACTTGTTCTGAGCCCTCCTCTTAGAGGAAGCATGGTCCCCACATTTGCATCTCTCCCTGGACTTGAAAATGAACAGTGTTTAAGGACTTTTATAAATGGAAGGGGACAGCACAGAAATGAAGGGGAAAATAAGTATCCATCCATGTCCTGTTTCCTTTAAATATCCCTGTAGATATTGAATGCAGTGCCCGGTTGGTTGCACAGCACAGACAGCTGATACACCCAGCACCATGTCCCAGGGTCTCACCTGCTCCCAGCACACGCTGCATGCACTGAGCAGCTTCAGAGATGCACATGGAACAGCACAGCAAGCAAGGCTATACTGAGCCCTTTACTCAGCTCTTCCCTGAAAGTATTGCCTGTTCTGTCAAATCCTGGTAATTTTTTGTAATATTATTTCTTTGTGTTACTGTAGTTTCTATTTTTTACATGAAATATTCTCAAAATTAGCATCTTCCTCTTGCAAAGAAGGTCATGTTGCAACCCCCTTTCCCAGCCTGATCAGCAATCCTGGGATGACTCAAATAGTGATGGTGTCTTGCTCTCCTTTCCCACCCCAAGGATATTATGCTCCAATTGCTTAATCTAATTTTTCAGCTTCTTGGCCTTATTTAACCTACTGTGATGAGAAGTGGCCAATGCACTGTAAGCATCTGTTTCTCCTCATTCCTCCCATTCAATCCAGCTGCAGAGCACCTAGAGAGAAGATTTTGAGTGGCATTGAGTCAGACCATCTAATTTTAAGTAGGCAACTCAAGTTCTTTGTCATCAGTATCTTAAACAGGTCTTTGCATGGGGAGATCAGCACAAAAACAGACACTGTGGGAGGTGAGACGTTTACCACCTTTGCAGATGGAGAATGTTAGTTAGCCACCCTACTAATTCTGCTATCTATCCTGAGGGGACCCATCTGGAGCTCCTCAGCCTCACCTCATCATGCTTGGTCCTATCTTGTCACTTTATGTTCACACAGTACCCCAAAATCTGCCAAGACTGAGAGGATCCTTGAAGGTTTAGAAGGCAAATTTGGGGCTGGCATTTAAATCCAGGACCCTCCTGGGTTTTGGCTGGCCAGTCCCTAGAGCACCTCTATTGGTGACTCCCTCTCTGAACATCAACTCTGTCCACGTGGGAACAGTTCATGGCACTTGCTAGCAACGAAGTGGCTCAAGCTGATGCTGGTGCTGGGTTTCGTCGTCATCACATCATGCATGCAGCCCCAGCGACCACTGCTCGTGGCATGGGGCATCCTTGGCACCCTCTTTCCTTCACAAACTTGGCTTGCCCACAGTCACCCTTTACCCTAGCACTGATGGTGTATCTCCTTGCTGCCACTTGTACCCCTGCATGGAGTTGCCTTGCTGCTGCACCCAGTGTGTCTCATGAAAACTTGAGTTGCCCCTGTTGGCTGAATGCATTTAAAGGTTCCCATGAGAGTCCACAGGGACTGTCCACAGGGAATGGGAGCTTCTTGGCTCTCTGGATGAAGCCATGGCCCAGGACCTGGTGCTAATTTGGGACTGTCCACAGGGAATGGGAGCTTCCTGGCTCTCTGGATGAAGCCATGGCCAAGGACCTGGTGCTAATTCCACTCATTATGGTTAGGCAAAGAGCATCATCTAACAGTGAGGGATGTGGGAAAGTGTGGGGTAGACTTAAGGATAGTGAGAGTAGGAAGTTGGGAAGGGGGCTCACTTCTGGGTCAGGATGTAGCCAGACAAGGTCAGAGAAGGGTGTGTGGGAAGGCAGTGTCACAGCATTGAGATAAAGAATTGTCTGATGAGGAAACAAAGTTGTTGCTTAGAAAATGGAATATGACCAAGGCTGGAGTGGGCTAATAGGGAAGTGAAAATAGCAAGTGGGGGTAATTCAAGCAATCCAGGCCTCTGCAGTGATGCTTGAAGCACTCTGATAGTATAGGTCTGTCTGATGAGCTGGAACTGTGCCAGTGTAAGTTGAAGAGGAGAAGTTGTGTGGGAGATAATGAAATGAGGAGGGGAAGGCAGACAGCTGGGGAGGTACCTCTGTGCCAGGCAACTTGCATTGCAGAGATTCCCTTGCTCATGATATATTTGAAGCATCTTTATCAGGTCGCTGGTGGGTCTCTAGGCAAGAGGTATGACAGTCTGTCAGGAACACCAAACCCTCTCTCCTCCAGGGCTGGACTTCCAGACTCATCTCAGAAGCCATGCGAATGAAATTTCCCTCATAGTGAGTGCCTGGAAGTGTCAAATGCCGTTCGGTCTCCCTCCAGAGAATAATTAATTTCATAATGGTTTAAAATAATTTAATGTTGCATAATGGGCAGAAACAGGCCTAGGCTCTGGGGATTTTTTTTTGAGTTGCAAGTACAATAGCATGGAGAACTTCTAGGTGTAGTATGCGGCTTGGAAACTGCTGCTGGAAGATTAGACAAGTGAAATACCTGGAGTCCCTTGTTGATATCTAAAGTCACATCTGATGCTTAGATTTCAAACTGCAGGAGGGGGTGGAGGAAACTTTCCTCTAAGAACTTTTTCTCCAAAAAACCCAAAGCAAAATGCACCAAACAAAAACTCTGGGTGGGACAAAGGGGTAGATATTTATAACCCTGAGGATCAAGAAATCATAAGACATCTGTTCTATTTACTGCGTTTAAATTTGTATTGTTATACAAACTCCACCTCTAGCTGTGCAGCTTCTGGAGGGACAAGTTGGTACGGAGTGATCCTGAAAAGATGAGAGAGATTCCTGGAGGAGAGATTTACATTGCGTATCATCTTATCAGTCTGTCCCTCTCACTTTTTTTTTCCCTGCACAGCAAGAGATGATTAAAGAGCCAGGGATTTAATTACAGCCATGTATGCCTAGGGGGAAAACCCACTCGGTGAAAGGACCTTGCAACAACAAACAGAAAGTTCTCCAGTTTCCTTGCTTTGAAGGATTTGTATCTGTGGAGGGGGGTGGGTTGGAGAGGGAAAGAAAGTGATTAGGCTGGCGTTTGCAAAACACACCATCCTCTTCCCCCTGTATGGCAAAGTGCTGCCTTCAGCAGTTTGGTCCTCACTATCAGCTCTGCTTCCAGTCCCACTGCCCTCCTGCTCGTCTGCAAGACCTGAACTACTCTCAAGTGCTTTCTGACATCACCATGTCAGTAAAACAACTCCCTTTCCCCCCACCCAGGGTCTTGCACCACCTTCAGCCCATGCAGTAAAGCTTCACGGTTTGTGTTGACCCCTGTGGTCTGCCCCAGCCGATGCCCACCTGCACATTCCACCCCAGCCAGTGCTGCACTCACCCTGGGAACTGCCAGCCAGGCACAATTTCAAAGGGGAGAGATACGGGTCCAGGGCGTGGGAGGCTGCTTCTGATGTGAATCATGCTATCTATGCTAGGGATGGGGCCCTGCATCTTCTCTGCTAGGTTGTACCAGCTTATCTGGCCTGCTGTGCCTTCCTTTCCAAACTTCTCATGTCTTTTTATTTCCAAACTGTTGGGTGAAAGGGAATTTATTTTGTTGCTGGGCTCTGTCACACTTTCAATCAGTGCTGATGGAAGAATCTTTAGAAACAGACTCAACTCCTCTGAGCACAGAGGACCACCTAAGCATCTGTGTAACTCCTCTAACCTCTACCAATGAGGTTATCTACTTTCAGGTGCCAGCCCTGCTAAGCACCAAATCCATGCAGCAAGGCAAGGCTAGTGCTTCAAAAATCTTCCAAAAACGAAGACCTTAAACCTTCAAACAACAACAATCTTTTCCATCCTGCAAGGGGTTCATGAAATTTGTTAGATGTTAACAATAAAATGGGTAGCTGGCTCTTCCAAGCAAACGGGAGCTGTTGCCTTCCCAGAAACCAAATACAGCAATAGAGGCAGAGAGTATTTTTCTATGTGATTAGCTGAACTAGCATAATAAATCACCAGTTTGGTGAATCCAGCATAACGACAAGAAGAGATTTGGCTGTTCTTATGCATTTATTGGGAGACTTATTTGCCTTTAAAGAGGGAGGGGGGGAGGAAAAAAAAAGATGAGTTCGTTTTTCCTGTGACGTGTACACAGCCACGGGCAGTGCCTGGTATTTCACTTGCAAACAATTTCCTCTCTCTTTTGTTTATTGATGACAGAAGGCATTCCAGCCAGGTACACTGGCTCTTCCCTGACTTCAAAGGAGGTCAGGTTACAAAGGCAAGCACCATCCACACAAAATGAAATGCAGAAAGGGAAGGCCCATCCTAGTCGATCTCAAGGGGAGTTTATGTGC